GAAAACACTGTGACAGTCTCGTACATAAATAGTATAGGGTTGTTTTATCAGGAAATGATCCCAATTTAATTAATAATATATTCGTAATTACTGAAACTTAATTGTATTATTAAAAAGTTTAAGAACCGTGTAATTAATACTTTACATAATAATATATGGTGTATTAAGTTTAGCGGCTGTTTAATTTAATCTAGTGACAAATTGACTGTCTGTAGAATAATTAAAATCACATAATTTGAGATTTATAACTGAACATATAAAACAAACATTAATATGATAAATATTCACGTATATTTTGATCTATTTGTTTGGCAGCATAATAATGAATAAATGATGGGTAGGAAATGAATATTTTATAGACCAATTATTAAAAATATCAAAGATAAAATATTATTTTTAAAACTCCGATTAGTTACATATATGGTGCAGCAGAATCTGCTAGATATTGCATTCAGACAGTCTTATATGTGAGAGATCAATGAAATGTCATCAAACTGTACTACAGCAGAATATGGTCAGACTTAGGGTTTATAGCTGAGAGAATGAGGGTAAAGTTAGGGATTTATAAAATTACTTACAGGGATTAAATATACAAAACGATAGCATGCAACATATATAACACCATTATAGGAGAGCATTATCACAACAAGTATAAACGAGAGAAGGAAATGGGAATATAATAACAACTGTTTGGTAAAGTATTTATTATTTTTCAAAAGTCATCAAATGTTGCAAACTAAAATTGTTTATGAAGTTCGTACACTTCATATAGCAATACGTAACTGAACGAAGCACATCATACGTGTTCTCGGACACGGCGGTCGGGCTGTGGTACTACGCGTCGGGCTACATGCACTACGCGGGCGCCATCGTCACCGTGCTGGCCGAGGCGCCGGCCACCGTCGCGGCCCGTCCGTCCGGCGGCGTCTGGGAGCCGGTCCGATTGGCCGGGGCCCTGCTGGTGTTCGCCTGGGCGTACCGCGAACAGTGGCGGGCCAACGTGGCGCTGGCCGGGGCCCGGAAGCGCGGCGGCCGGGTGGTCACGCACGAGCACGTCGCGCTCTGTTCGACCTGGTGTCCAGTCGCAGATGCTCGAGGTGGTCATGTACGGCGCCTGGTACGCCGTGCTGTGGGGCGGCAGCGGGTGGAAGTACGTGATCGCGTTCGTCTGGGGCAATCAGTTCGAGATAGCGCTCATCAGCCACCGGTGGTACCGGGACAAGTTCCAGGACTACCCCCGAGAAAGGAAAGCCATCATCCCGTACGTGCTGTGATCGCAGTCGTGTGCGCGCTACAACGTGGTTCGCCAATCAGAATCGCATTAAACATAATGTGACGCGCACAGGCGGCGACGTCCGAATTGTATATAATATATAAATACATTTCGTTGGTTTTTACGTTTTCGTTTTTGCTTGTTTTTTTCCACTATCACCGCCTAATAATATTTTATTTACCTATATATATATATATTAAATGATGACAAGAGTAATAGCTGTGGCTAGCTAAAAAATAAAACTGTGACGACTTTTTAAACGCAATATACTGAAATGTTTACGTATAAAAGAATAACAGATTTTCATAGTACTAAATAGTGAAAACATAAAAAATTAGAAACAATGGACTGATGAATGTTTGCAGTTAGAAATAAGAACGGGGGGATAAATGGAGAGTTTGACGGAATGTTAGAGGAAGATGGCGAAACATGAAAGTGAACTATATTCCTAGTCGAGCGTGTGATTAGGAACACGCTGATTATGATATATATATATATTTATACATATTGCTATGTAATAAAACTATACAGGGAATTTATAGCTGCTTTTCTGAGGAGCTCGTCAGCCACCTTGGTACCAAGAGGAATTGCTCCGGAATTTTCCTCGAGAAAGGAAAACCATCATACTATATGTGTTGCGATTTCAACTACATAGGTCATGTGTACACCACAGTTCGTATGTTTAAAGTAAAATGTATAATAAGAAATGTATGTGTAAAGACACGTAAACGCGTACCTATTATTTAGTATAAATACGTTTCGTTGGGTTTGACGTGTATTTTATTTTATTTTATAGTATTTTACCCATTCTAGTGATACGATATATAGCGTAATATATAGTCGTTTGGATAGAAAGACATTATATAGTAATTTTTCATTTCCATACACTTTCATTTTCTTAATACAACGGTAAGTATACCTGTACCTACTTATGAAACGCATTCTAAGATACACTCAAAATACTATTATTATTATGCACAATGAAACGAATAAAAAATGAATATATCATTTACAATAAAACGTATTATTGTTGAGATATACATGATAGGCGACGTTGAGGTTATTTCGCATGAGAACAAAATACTTTTTTTGGAATATAATAGTTTATTCTTGTTATAAGTTAGAAAAAACCTAATGCACGGGGTTAACGTTCAAATACGCAGTAATAATGAAATTGTGCAAAACGTTTTTTACAAACGGACAATCATTCGATGGAACACAGTTAAAAGTAAAGTAATAATTATATACTTAATATGCAAATATAAACACACTGCATACTACCGATAAACTATGCCATATCGTTTAACAATTAAATCCGTCGACTACCCAAAAACAAACACAACCGCCCCTTCCTCACCACTCGATGCGGAAAATATTAATATACGATCGCGTTTGCACAGAGCACACTGGTACCGCCTTTGGCGACAGCTTTTCGGAATTCCATTACGCGCTTATAACGAATAGCTTTTTGCATTTTAATAAATTATGTTTTAATCATTTTTCTTATTTTATTTACCCGTTTGGTTATTTTTTTGTGCGGGCATATTGTTATGGAGTTTGGTTAGTTTTTCGAGACGCCGTTCAATGTTATAAAAACATAAATATATATATACATATACAAATTATAACGACGTGAACTAAACAAAATATTAAAACTGTGGTAAATACGACATAATAATACTATCTACTGTGTTGGTTCCGTTGGTAGTATCTGTCTGGCGCTACTTTTATACTCTAAATTGATATACACAAAGTCATTTTTTCCTAAGTAAGACAACACTCATATTTTCTGAGTCAATTTATTACATTTTTTTTTTTTTTTCATGGAGAATAAAAATATTTTTAAATAATTTGAAATATGAGCAATTACTCATAATTATAACACAGTGTTTTTTTCAAAATTGTTTACTATAGTACTATTCAACATAACACGTTTTTATTAATATTTATTTCATAAATATTTTTATTTTCAAGTAGATCACAATTAATTTAAATATCAATAAATTCGACAAAAATATTTAATACTATTGAATAATAGGTAGTTAATTATTTATTAGCATTTAATATTTTGATTACCGGATCTTGATGGCAACAAGTAATAATTGGCAGGTATCAACACTACTTTGACGCTCCATATCTATAGACTTTTAATTTATAAAATAAGTCGGTGATTCTCAATCTTTTTTGACTCGTAGCATAACACACTTTTGTAACTTAAGTATCTTTATCGCACCTATTTCTAAGTCAAAATATAATTAAATAATATTTCATGAAACTACTGTCAAGACTCCGCCATTACACAAAACACACCACTTTGGGGCCCACTTTATATGTATATCAATTTTTCAGGAAAATGTATTATTTCAGAATAGGAAATTAAAAACATACGTATTGTATCGTTGTAAGGTATTAAAAAGTAAAAAATTATTTTATTGTAAAATTGAGGTGTGTATGTATTTATATATAAACATATGTAGGATTAAAAAATTATTAAAAAAAATTGTCCTTAAACACTATAACATTGACTAAGAAAATAAGTGATGTATTGCGTTGAAAAAATCTTGTGTAAAATATAAAATATTTATTTGTTTTCCTAAAAAAGTATCATTTTCTATTAAACATTAATGACATGTAATTGGATACGTAAATTGACAACGAACAGTGTTGTTAAATATTGTAAACCACCGTCGTACCCATCACCGCTGTACTAAAAAATACAATACAATAAAAACATAAAAGAAATAAAAAGGTTTACACGTGACGGTTATTACGTCGAAGTGTATTTTAAGAATGTGTAAGAAAATAATAATAAATCCTCTCTACACTAAGTCACTACTATTGAATTTCGTAATCAACAACATACTTTATACACCTACTTAAAAACTTAGATTTTGAAAAATCCTATTATAAAAAATGATAAAACTTAATTATTTATTTTTTTTTTTAAGAGTATACACATGGATATGATAATATAAGCACAATATTTTAAAATTAATAGTATTTTTTATAAACACAAATTTTGAAAATTAAAAATACAATATAATTTACTGTATTTGATAATTAACTTCCCTTTTTGTTTTTATATCCTATTAATAAATTACCATTTTATTGTATAAAAAGGTTTGAATAAATTAATCAAGTGTGCATGAGAAAGTTTTAAAAAGATTTTAGCTTATTTTCGCCTAGAATGTAATTAGTTATTAATTGCAATAAGTATTTTCGAAACTGATAAAAAAAATGCATATTATATATTATAATGTACATATTGTACATGTATATAACATAAAGTATTATAGTAATGATGGCACAACATTGTTTTACCTAATCAAAACAATAGCACAATTTAATGAAATATTTCTCATGTAAAAACATAATATATTTATATATTTTTGGTTATTCAAGTGACAATCGTACTTAAATAAACCAGGGGTAGCTAACTGCTGGGTCCTTTCACGGATATTTATTAGAAATTGTATTTTCATATAAAAAATGGTATATTCCACTACTATATATATTTTTTATCATTATATTAATTTTTCTATTTTAGTACATTATTATACCATTCGTCGATCATTTTTAAAGTAATGTAGCAATGAACATATACTTTTAGAGATTTTTTTTAAGTTGAATTTTTGAATAAAATATTTACTACCGAGTACCGGTCGATCATTGCCAAAAAAAATCATACTATCCCTGCTGTAAACGATAAACTATTTATATAGGTATAAAATAATAAAACCATATTCTAACATTATTTATTCTTATCTACTTCTCAGAAAATGCGGACAGACTTCTAAATACATACATATATTCATACATATACTGTACGGTAATCGAATAGTCAACACCGATTTGTTGATACGCGATTTTATATAAGAAGGAATTGTCATCGAAATGTAACGGTTACGATAAAAAAAAAGAAGACAATCTACATTACACCTTCTAAATTCGTGAGCTTTTTCGAAGAAAAAAAATAAGGAGTACTATTATGGGTGAATGGTTTTTTCTTTTCCTTTACGTTTAGCCAGCAAGTCTCTAGAGACCCATTGGTATTTACGAGAAAGGGGAGGATTTGAATACGCATTCTAGAAAACATAACTTATTATTACTGTAACTGGAAAAAAAATCGGTTATGCGACTGAAAAAAAGTCGCAATTCGGTTTGTCACCGAATATTTTGATTATAAATGCTATACCATTTAATATATATTCGCATACGTATGCGTACAACGTATGAGTAAATAAAAGAATAAAAAATATTTATTTTTCTCTTTCTTTATAGAAAAAACCGTCAACTGCAAAGTTAGTATACTGTAGTTAAATAATTGATACTTATACAATAAACTATTTATATACTACAGGTTGATTCACCAATCACATTGAACACTATTTTTTTTCTTTAATAATTTATTGATTTATTCTAATTCTATTTCATGGAATCTTATATAAGGACCTTATATTTTCAAATGCGTAATACATTTTGAAAATAATGATTTTATTGAACTAAATGTTTATAATTCTCTAGATAAAAGTTCGAATAATTAGTTTCTGAGTTACTAAAAATAGTATATTATACTAAGGAAAATAAGTCTTAATAATAGTCTTATAAAAATTAGAAAAAAAAATATATATATAATTTAAAATTGGATCTAGTTTAATCATATTTTTATTTTTAAATTCTTATTAGATTAATATAAATGAGTAATGACCAAATTATCATATCTTCAAAACCTTTATAGATATAGACATATTATACTTAAAATTTAAAATTAAATAATTTAAAAACTGTTTTTTTAAATATTAATTTAATGACATCAACACTTAAAAAAATGTATTTGATTATAAATGTATAGGAAAAAGGATCGTCATAAGACGCATCTTACATAGTAAAATACTTATAGTATTTAAAAATATGACTTTTTAAATAAGTACTCTATTCACTTAAACATTTAAGAAATCATAATTTAAATATAAAATTATTATAAAAGCAACAAATATAGAG